TTGTATTTTTGTTAACAAACATAATAATAAAAAATGTTCATTGTGGTAAAAGAAATAATAATAAATAAGAATTTTTCTTCCCGAGTTGTAAAAAAATCCTTACGTGATAGAAAAAAAAAGAATATTATTTTCGAAATCTGCGTATCTGAATTATGGAAAATCTGTTATTAAAACCCAAACAACTTTTATGAAGTTTCAATTCGCAGGCCTGTGTTATCTTCGTCATGCAGCATTTTACAAAAAGAAATTATATGATTATGAGATACCTTGAAAAATATTTGTTCACACTTATTTCTAGCTAGTGCTTTACTTGGTGCTAAACTCAGTGGTAGTGGTATAGGAACACCTGGATCTACTGGAACATTAAACCCTACTTTTGGTAATCTACCCCTTGCTGGAGTTGTGGGTCTGGCAGGTCTTCCACAGATGTCTCCATTTGATGGTATTTCTGGACTTGCGGGTTTAAACATAGTTAATCAGCTAGCATCAGCGGCACAAGGTATACAAGCTACAGTGTCAGCAAGCACAAATACAACCCTAGCTAATAACGGAGCAAGCACTGTCTTGACCAATGCCACCCCTGCGAATGTCAGTGTTGCTACCAATGGTCAGCATAATGTTCAACAGGCAAGTTTTTCAAAGGATATCGTTCTATGCTTTACATTGATATATCTTACTATCACATAAGTATGGTGGATAGGTATATTTTTTAAAAATTATTCGATGTATTGAACAAAAGGTGCTACTATATAAGTATTGTGTAAAATATATTTTGATGAGATTTATCTTGGAAAAGTATATCAGATTCTTCGAAATGTATAGAGCATATGTTTGTAGTGCCGTAATTCTAGAGTAACTTTACTTACTAAGGCTAATTAGTCATTTTATAAGATTTTGTTTTCAACTTAGCAAGGCCCGGCATGGGCAGGTGGTTAGGACGCTCGACTCGCAATCTGCGGGTTCGCATCCCCATCCCACCAAATATGCTCGCCCTTTCAGCCGTGGGGGCGTTATAATGTGACGGTCAATCCCACTATTCGTTGGCGGTGGGTGGTGATGACTAGCTGCCTTCCCTCTA